GAGAGAGAGAGAGAGAGAGAGTGTGTGTGTGTGTGTGTGTGTGTGTGTGTTTGTGTGTGTGTGTGTGTGTGTGCTGAACACAGGGAATAACACTCTCTAATAAACTGCTTGCATGACAGTGAGGAAGAGTGTTTTATAGTTAGGCAAGAATACACATTTGTTTAAAGATCTAATAGTTACTTTGTAAACTTTAACTATGAAAACATTTAAAATGTGGATTTTTAAATAACATTTAAAATTTTATTTAGAAATATAACACCATTGTGAGTACGCTATGGAAATCGATGAAGATGGTTAGTTAATAAGAAAAAAAAATGTTATATAGTTCTGGAACACCAATAATTTATACTGAATTTAGTCATGTATTTTTATTGTATTATATGTATAGTTTAGAGAGCATAAAACGGCTACATTTTTTCCACTCAGAAACGGAGTATTGTAATGTCACATCGGAGTATGAAAGTTGTGATTCTCATGAGCTGCAGATCACCAGTAGATGGCGCTCTAATATCGCAGCTCAAGCAGCAGGTCGAACACAAAGATCAATCCTCATTACAAAATGTTCTTGATACTTGTTTTCAAGCTGTATAAATCTTAATAACAAATGACCATTTTAACAAATTATGCCGGTAATGCAACGTCTAATATTTTCATTTTAAGTTTTTCACGGCAACAGAACGAATGATTTTGCAATCAAACCATAATCAGCCTATCCGAGTTCAATCCGGCATTATAGGCTGGTCATTCTTTGTTGAATATTTTGGTGGAAATTATTGCAATTGGGAACCAAATAAGTATCATTTGAGAATTATTTAACAGCCAAATCCACATTCTTCTGAAAATTTAGGATTACAATTTTAGTTAATCCATTTATTATATTCTCACTTGGTTTTTATATTATCCTTTTCCAAGTGATGTTATTTGTATTATTATGTATTTCATTATTAATAAACAAAACAACTTTAGGATATCTAGGAGTAAATTCCGTCATTTTCTCACACCATTTCTATACAGTATATTTGACTTTATTTCTCCTGCGGAACACAAAATAAGTTATTCTGAAGAACACAGGTCTCCAAACATCATCAGACTCATCTGACTTTCATTGTATGGCCAGAAAAAAACCCTGAGACATGTTTTGTGTTCCGAAGAAAAAAGACATGCATGGTACGGTCCAACAAAATTTGCATTTCGGGTGAACTATCCCTTTTAGACTTTCTCCAGTTTCCATTTTAATGGCACCAACCTTTGATGAACAATTGGTCTGTTAGCCTATCTAACATTCATGTATTTTAAATATATTTTACTAGTTTTGATTTTCATCCTATAGTTTTTACATCAAACACGGGAAGATGACAGATGTCGACTCTTATTTAGCTTAAAATCCACCACGATTTTTAATTGTTATATTATAGTTTTATTATAGTTTTCTCAGTCTTTCGTGTCGCTCAGTACATCATCAGTATTTGCAAACAGACCCAACAGTCTCTTCACATAGACTATTAAATAATAATACGTTAACCTCTTTTTCAATGTTTTGTGTGTTTGTATGCATGTATGAGAGTGACACTTTGCTCTTTGACATGTACTTTGCCCTGTGACCGCTGGGTGGCGACAGGTTTGTCAACAGCAGAACTCAGACGTGTAATAAACACGCCTCTGATAACGAAGGCGCCAGGTGAGCAATAGAAGGAGCAATTGCGATAGTTTACGTGGTGTTTACCACTGTTCTTCAGCGCCAATGTCGTTACTTATTAACCGTACTTTACACAAATAAAGACATAGTCTTGATAAACCCTGACTCGAGGCTCCACAGAGTGAACAGTCAAGTTATTTCACATTCTTCCAGGTTCACATCGGTCCACGTAAACACGCACGACGGGCCTTATAAAGCTTTCTCACGGCGTAATGTACAGCTCCAGATGTGCTAATACTTTCACTTTCCCTCCTTTTTGCTCGAGAACATCCTCCATGAACGAAAAGTATAGTTACACACATCTGTCTGAATTAATGTTTTTATTATGAATACAAGAGAATCACTTTGTTTTGATTATTACTTTATTTGGTTGTGCGCATTGTAATGGTGTAGTTCGAAAAATAATTTTAATTCATGTCTATTTCAGGTGGCTATCATGTTGTAAGATTTTTTTTTTCATCAGATCGTAAATTATACAAATTAAGTATAGAGTCCGAACACATTGGGAACACAGTGGAAAATCTTTATTTACTTATACGCTTTTCTGCACTTTTTTTAAATTATTTTTTGGCAGTCATAGGTCACAAAAGGTTAATTTGAACACACGCTTGGACTAAAGCATTTTTAGTTGCTGTGAAATAAAAGTGTCATTACTTTCAAGCCACTGGTGCGTTGTGTTATCGCCTTTAATTTGTTTGAACCAAAGCACTTAAACACACAACAGTTAATCAAAACGATGGCACATTATTTTTGTCTGCTAGAGAAACTAGCTTTGTGGTGTTACAGGTGGAATCCAGACGCAGATGAGAACGTAATTAACAAGGAAAATACTCACATACTATTTTACACATATGTCAACAATAAATTAAGTTAAGCTCCCTCAAACAAACAAATAAACAAACAAACAGAGAACCTCAGTTATATTTACAAGCAATATTCATATGAAATAATTACATATATATATCGTTATTTACATTTGTATTTATTATAACCATATGATCCATTTTTTATCCATATGATCCCTTTTCATCTCGAAACTGTATATTCTAAACAATTTTAGTACCGCGTCTGTTAATCTAGACAAATGATTAATCAGTGGTCTGTGGACTCAATGACTTTGGAAAAAGAATAAAATGACTAGACTGCCTTTCTCATGTTCACACAAAAATAAATAGAATATATTATTATTATTATATTATATGTATGTGTGTGTGTGCGTGGGTAAAGATTAAACTCCTTAACATTGCAAAATATTATTAAAACTGTAGTGTAGATTCCGTTCTTGGTGAATTTGCGCTTTGAACAATACAGACGAACGCATTTAACTAAAAAAAAACAAAACAGCAGTCTTGATCAAGTCTAATCTTTGACATGCAATATGCCTCCGGTAACTTATTTAATTAATGAATGTTTTCAAACACATCCGATAAAGAGATATCAAATAAAGCAAGAACCGATTCAGAGTGCATATTAAATTAAATCACCGTCACCCTGACGTATAACACAAAGAGGAGCAGCAGCTTTATTCAGTTTCTGATATCCTTGCCAAACTGTTCACTATTCAATACTTCTCAGGCATTCA